TGTATCTTATTAATCATATAAAGTCTCATTTATTAGAAATATGCGTTTTGACTATTATTCACAAATCATTATTATTCAGACCATAGAACAAAAATCCTCAGAAACAGCAAGAGCTATGGTGTTCTCACTTGGAATCTTGTTAACAGGCTTACCACCTCCTCTCTTCTGGCCTTAGGTAAGAGACTTCCCGCTAAGCAGCTGTGTGCCTTTCCTGTTAGGCTGGGGGGCGGGAGAAGTTACAGCTATCCTAGGCAGTAATTCCCAACAGCAGACTCACAGCATCTGCTCAAGTTTGCTGTGTCAAGGCTTTCTTCTTTGCAATCACGTGTGTAAGTCATTGCTGAATTTCACGCCCTAACTGCTCCAGCCACCAAATTACAGCACAGCAGGGATGAATGCCCCAGTCTGCCTGAACAGCATACATTTACAAAAAGCTGCATACTGCAGTATAAGGGAGCTACACCAATTCCCAACACAGGCTAATCATCTTTGTGACAAAAAACAGTGTCAGAAGCTGCTGCACTATTATAGCTATTCCTCTTTATAGTACTCTTGAAAAGGTATTTCAACACTGGCTTCACTCACAAGAATCAAAAGGATCTCTAGCACGTCAGCCTGCTCTTAGAAACTGAAAATCCACAGGTTTTCCTCAGAATATCAGACATGCTCTCTAAATAGCTAGGTCAATAGCTAGGTCTTCTTTTTTTTTCCTCCCCAATCCTTGCATATTTAACCAGTACATATTATGAAATTACATGAAGAATATTTACACAAATTTTAAATATAGTTGTTGTGAATAACTATCGAAAACCTATATCCTGAATGTCTACTAAACCACACACAGCATTTGTGATTGAAATAACTGAAGTAAAACCAGAAGATTGAAATTTTGAAGGACTTGTTCACCTAAGTACAGTTTTCCCAGAGCCTATTCTCTCAGGAGACATGCACTCAGCTGAAGCAAACGAAATTTCAACCAAAACCTGAGAACTTACTACTTTGTCAAGTAAAAAAAACCAAAAAACAAAACAAACCACAAAAAAAACCACACCACAAACCCAAAACCCCTACCACCCAAAAAAACTGTGCAAGGGAGAAGGCTGTAAGAGATCTGAGAATAAATACAGTTTTAATCAAACTTGTCTCATCTTCCACTCCCAGAAGCAGCTTCAATGTTGTAATAATTTGGGACCCACTACAATACTTCTCAAGCAGATGTTTTGTAGTTGTCAGAAGAGAAAGCCACCACAATTTAGCAGTGAGTTATGTCCTTTCCCTCACCCTTTCTTCCAAGTAGCCAAATACTTGTTAAACATGAGAATAAACACCCAACAGGGCCCATCACAGGCTCTGTCCCAAATTTTGAAAGAACCAGCTTTTGCAAACATTGAATCAAGAGAATGTTTTCACAATTTTTAAAGGGATCTTTCTTCTATTAAGTAATAGGAAAGCAAACATTCCTTTGCAGTTTGTTCTACCCAACAATGCAAGATGGAATAAAAGAAAATGAAAGTGACCACAAAAGAAGCAGCCAGATTGCATTCTACAAGCTAAAAAGGTAATTACATGGCTGGATCCCTGAAGTTAGTGGCTATAATGACTCAATCTGTACTTGGAAACATAAAATAGTTTAAAAGCAGGACTTGGCCAATCCTTAGATGTCAACTGCAAGCAACAAAGCTGACAAGATTCTGTAACTCAGTTTAATTCTCTGTACATAAGGGCTGGGAGAAGAACTCACACTAAGGCAACAGGACCACAACCACCCAAGACATTTTAATAATGCAAGGAAGGATGGAACGTACATTACTACCGAAATCTGTCATTAGGAAGCAACGCTGACCAATGATGAATGAGGAGGATCTGACTAATGAACAACTCCAAGCAAGACAGGAAAGTCACCCCTCAGATGCAGCAATGCTTCAGAGACAGAAGAAAAAAACCCATGCAATTACATAGTGACCATGGGCATACTAGCTACTTGTAGAGAGGCTACTTCTGGAGATACTTTGTACTTTTTATGACATACCATAAATCAAGCCTAAAGATGGACTGTACCGTAGCTAGCTTATTAAGCCCAAGATCAGTTGACTGCAATAAAAATAGACTCCTACCCAAATAACAGACCAATACTGCATATTTCTCCTCAACAACATATATTTTAAGTTGGAAATGGTTTTGATTTCAATTAGCAACATTCATACATGCCATAGCGCAAAAGACTGGTTTGTATTTCTGATAGTAGAAATCCTCTCAATGGGCTTTAGCCTACTCTATCAGCTATGTTATTCCACAGCCACAGACAAGGCTTCTTCCTCATGATCTAAAGCAGATGGACTTCTCTAATGATCATGCACAGCACTGAATCAGAAGAATAGCAAGGCAATGGACTTGGCAGTTTAATAACAAAGTTTTTTATGTACCACTAATAGCTTTTTATGTTTTCCAATGCCCTTTCAACAACTTTTCTGTTCAGTGTTGTACTCAGAGTGTAGCTGCATGTTGCATTCTTCATAAAGTAGGTTTCCAGGCCAAGGAAGTAAACTAAAACTATGTTTAAAGTCTTGGGAAGTCAAAGAGGATTATGAGCTCTTTCTCTAAGAGAGGCAGCCCGTGTAACCTTCCAGAACACGAACCTTGACCCTTCAGGTTCCCATGAATATTTCTAATATTATGCTTCCCACCCAGCCTCCCCGTCCTTTCTCTTGAAGTACCAGACTATCAATTACTTAACTAGTCAAAAGGCAACCACTCTGATACTTTTCCCTCCTATCCTGACACTTGACTCTTCCTCTAAAGACAATTAGGAAAAAACATAGTGACACTGCAAAGAAGATTATGACACACCATTACTAGATACAGATAACTCATCCTTGGGATTCCCTGATCAAGAGTATTTCCAAAGTGCTGAGAAGCATCCTACAGTTTAAGCAGTGCAGTATTATGCCTCATAGTAATTAACATGTCATAATTCTCCTCATAACTTATATTTTTCACAGCCTAAAACAAAACTTGAGGATCCAAGAGTAAACAAGGTTTTTGTGGAGAGTATTTTGCTTTAGGAAAGAGTCCACAATGGGTATTTCCAGCAGAGCAAGTCTGATGACTTCAAGAAAACTATTCAAGTGAGGGCACTTAAAAACACCTTACAAAAGATTGGCCAAATTTGGGAAAATGAGCAAAGTTAGATATTATACTTGCAAATGATTGTTTCAAAGGTGTCTCCTACAGCATCCCAAGATAACTTCCAGAAAAAAAAATTCTTAAGAACAGCAGCAAGAGTCTACCAACCCTAAGTTATTGCAAAGACCACTTCCATAGTAGAATGTTCTGAGATTTATTGTGTTTAGGGCCAGAAGGCCTGCATAATCACACTGCCTGCCTTTTACTAAGCAACATCTTTCCTGTCTTCTGGTTGAGCTAAAGCATAAGGATTTTAATGTGATTACTCCGGTGGCAGGATCTACCACATCCTCTGAATAGCTCGGTCATTACTTTCCTCACTGTTTAAAACACATCTTCTAGATCAATAGCTCTAACTGGTACAGGTTTTTCAGCCTTAACTACTGGCATTTCAGCAGGCACAGGCTCTGTTTTTACAGAGCACCACAAGATACTTCTTATTTGAATCCACCTTTGAAGGCAGGTACTGACTCTCAGACAAACACCAATTCTAATAAAACCAAAGGGCATCTGGGGGAGAGTCTCTGCCACTATAACAATCTCCATCACATTCATCACACTGAAACCTGGTATCATTTCAGCTGTTCTAGCAAGTCTGTTTCCTACACATTTTGAAACAGATACACAAGGGCACAGAATTGCAGAATATGAAGTACCTCCTCACAAGAAGCCACAAGGGTAACTCCCATACATTTTAACAGAAGGGGAATGATTTCGCATTTGAGTCAGAGCTGGCCAGGCATACCAGTGTCTAAACTGCACCAGCAGAAATCTACCTGCCCTCACCCATTAGTTAATATCCTGGGATGAGAAGAATCGAGAAGTGAAAGGGACTACAGCTGACTTACAGCACTAATGTGGAAACAGAGTGCCTCCTTCCCTTTTTTTATGGCTGTTGACCTCCGAGGGGGAAGTTGTTCTTTTGTTGCAACTCCAATAGCTGACCACTTTTTCTGGTTTTCACCACTTGATCAGATTAACACTTTGAATCAAATCTATTAATCTCCCTGTTCTTCTGCAGTAAAAGGACTTTTATAGTAAGAGATCTTTTAAAGCCTTAAGATACTGATGTTTTCAACCAATACTGACAGTCACCCTGCCTGGTTTTGCACAGTCTGGATTTTGGGAACGGAGACACACACCACAGCAGCAGAAGCCCTTCCACAGGGCTGCCAGATAACCAGAAGTGACTACGGTCAAAGATTACAGAACGTTTCACAATAAAATCACGCTACTCGCTATCACCAGGCATAAACACATCACAAAGGACTTCCTGTCATCCTCTCCCCCACGAACTGACCCTTTACATCTGTTATTGAAGTGCCTTTTCATTAAAAATACCTCTTACAGATCTTCCTCCATCATAAAGAACAGATTCATGTTTATATATAAGTCTATTGTATTAATTATAGTGGTTGTCACAAGCCCATTAGGACAAGTTCATACTACACAAATTAAAGCACTCCACTGCTAAATTTTAGTGCTTTTTCAATTAATTCAATTCTAATACACACACTCAAAGAGAATCTATTGAAAATCAAAGAACTATACGGATACTTGTAATTTAAAAGAATAAATATTTTTGAGTTTATTTCTCAACTACAGAGCTATTTTACCTGCAGGCAGGACAACCACCAACTACTACTACAGAAGTGGTGGTAGCAGGCTGTTGAATAATGGTGTAGGTGCTTGAATAGTTTGGCTGTGACGTCGGTGGAGGAACAGCATACCCTAAAATAAGAAAAAAAAGCTCGATCACCACACGTAAGGCACAAAAAACAATGATAATAATCAAAAAGTATGGAAACGGAACACGGAAAAAAATAAGTAGAAGTGTAGTCCTGACTAAGCACTCTAAGAAGCTCTATCAAAATCAGAGGTGGAACACACTACTCGGCACATCTTACAGCAAAGCCACTTCATAAACCCAAGTATCTAGCACAATTTAACCATTTAAAAAGGACACTGAGCTAATAATTAACTTTGAGAACTTGTTTCAATGCTGTTTGAGCACCAGGGAAAAATGGTTTAGACAAATAATGACCACAGCTTTCACTTCTGGATGTTATGTATCAGGTATGTCCCACTCCAGCGGATAAACTAGTTGAAATAGAATAAAACTTCCTTTGCTTTCCAGCTTAACTTCCCCATAGTAGGTTTATAACTGGAGAGAGAGGTAGGAGCGATAGGATGCAAGTGGAAAGGAAGCAGGCTGCATAGCACAGAAAAAAAAAACTTCCAAAAAACCCATGTTGTTAGCTAGTGAATGTGTCATTTTAACTGTTGTAGTTAGAAAACACAAGCCTTTAAGTACTACATTAACATTACAAATTAAAAAAAAAAAAGCTTTTAAAAGGGATGGTTAGATGTGTGCAGTGTAATCACACAGACAAGGTACACTTTGCCCAGGCATGATCCATTTTAAGCTTCTCTCCCAGGGCACAGTTGTCAGATTTTCTTGAATCAAGTTATGCATCTGTAAAGTCCAGCAAACTCACTACTTAAACTGAAAATAATCAGTAATACTTGTATTGTAGCAAAATAAGCTCCAAGTTATTAGCAGGAAATCAATCTATGGCCTCAACATTCAACCCAATGCTTGATGATTGGGGTCTGCACCTGCTGTGTATTTTTTGTAACTTTTGAAGCATTCCCCTAACTCTACAGTTTTCCCCAAGAGGCTACTACTTTCTTTGACGGAGGTTAGTATTAATTCAGTTAACAAAAGTACTGTATCTACTCACCTGCTTAAGTCTCTCCAAGACTACTGAAGTGTATCAGAAAAAACAAACATTAACCAGAGTACAGTGAAGCGCATGCAAAGAAAAGTGCAAGTTCGGAGTCTGTTCTACTGCTAGCACAGCTGTGCCTCTTTGCCATTGTTTTGAGGCAGAAAACCCACACATCGGGGGGATGCACACAAACTCGGTCGGTATTTTGGGGAGGGCAAAACACACGACGTTGCACCTCAGAGGCACTCTGGCAAAGGAGGGGAAAGGGAGATGGCGCTTTTAAACACCTGGATCCCCTGCGCACCCTCCTCCCTCCGCTGGTTTTA